GTCTGCTGACATCCAAATCTTGACTCATTAAGCTAGCTGAAATCCTCTGAGCACTATGCTTGACACTTTCGAGTTTTTCCTTAAGCCGATCATAATTGTGCACTTCCGAGTACTCCGATTCTAGGACGAAACAGCCATTCAGTTCTTCTAAGTTCTTAGCTGTTTTGTAACTTACTTAAGTCTGTAATGTTACTAACTTACGGCTGTTACCTTCCCATTGTGGAGCATAGGCCACCCACCAGCATTCTCCTCTCAACTCTGTCGTGGGCGATCCTGTCCAGTAGCCTTTGGCTCTTCTGGAGCTACTGCCGGTCCTAAGCCCACAAAACGTGGGAGGGAAGGGCATGCGTTCGGCAACCTTATCTTGTAGAAAACAATATTGCCCAGGAAGTTGAAGGAAGAATTATGACGCCTCATGATGAAAGTTGAGATTCTTTGGAAGTCAGGAGGCCGATGATCCTTCTGTAATTTTAGTTATCGTCCAACCAGAAACGTTCTATTAATATTTCGTAGTAATAATAAAAAGTGTCGAAATGTGAAAATCCAAAGGGTCCTATCATTTAATAGCCATGAAGTGAGAAATGAATGTATGAGATTTTTAATTTAGTTTTCAGAGGTTTTATTATTTTCTCTGATATAATAAATGTTTTCTATCAGCTAGCTGAAGGAATATCTTGGAGGAGTGATAAATTATTTCATTTGCTATCAAAACCAGGTTTCCGATTAATTTTTATGGTCATACTAAATCGGGAGCTTGTCTAATTATGCTGTCAAAGAAATATGTTCATGATAAACAGACTTGGCAAAGATTAAATTTTCTATCTTTGGCAACTCAGCCTAAATTGTTTCTTCAAAGAATAACTAACTCTATTTCACAGAAGTTTAAATTGTACACAGAACTAATCATATCAATTCATCAGTCCATACAAACAAGTTCAATTAAGTTATTTTGAGCAATAACAATAAGTGTATTTTTTCTACAATTCTGCTAATTTTCATTATTTAATGTTTGAGGAAACAACTTGTACCAGGTCACAACACATTAGAAATGCAATTCTCCATTAACTGAGATAATGTAGATGTAATATAGTTCCAATTAATCAATCTCATAATATTTAGATTCTATGGTTATATTCATCTAGGAATCAAAGCGTTTATAACAGCCATCAAGTCATATATTTCTATAAAGGGGTATCTATTAATCTCCATAGTTTATTAATATATTTTTACATCAACTGAACAATGAGATATGTCTTGCTCACCGAGTTTCAAAACTTTGTTGATCAAATTTTATATTTTTGCCACGAACGGCATGGTTGTTTTTTATAATCCATATGAAGGTGGTCCTTATTTTCCTACTTTAGAACAAGTCAGAAATAGGATAAAAATAATATCATTGAGGTTTAAACAACTATCCAAACGGAAGTATTTCTTTTATGTGAAAATTGAATAGCATTATCACTGTTTACCTACCAGATATACATGTGTATGTACCTTTTTTAATTGTAAATTATTATTATGTAGAAAACCGAAATATGACATTGAAGCATCATACCTAACAATTGCCCAGTAGCTAGTAAAAATAGGAATTTTTCTTTGAACTAGATCAGCTGTTAAGATAAATATTTATTTCTAGTCTTTTATTTATGAATAGTTTCAACTTAATTTTATAGTCTACTGAATTGCAAACTGAAAAGTTATAGTAAAATATCTATAATAATTACATACTGCCAGTTGAAATATGAATAATGAATAATGAATGGTAATAGTGAATTTAGGTTTTGTACTAAATTGAAAAAATAAATCTAATTACCATTGAACTAGCAAGTACTTTTTTAAAGGTCTCTTTTTGGAGTGTGTGAAACTCACAACAGTGGTATAACATAATCGATTAAGCCATCGTTGCATGTAAATTTTGTGATTTCGATGTAACAAAAGGTAGAACGCACACTGGTTCCAATACAATCGGTATTCAAAATGTTAGTAACTGCTTCCTTTTGATGTGTGAAAAAATAAGGACTCACAAAATCGTGTTAATAATAACGTACTAACCGAGGGGGACCCTTGTGTTTACATAGGACAATTTGGTCGATGTCACATATTGCAATTTCGTACATCTTCCTGATGGTTCGAAAAAACGATTTGGAGCTATATCAAATGTTCGATTAAATAAATTATAATATTCCAAAATAATGTGGAAATGTAATTCAAAAACAATTTTTCACAAATACTATTATGTAATCATTGTGATTAACACTTTTTCCAATATCTGTAGTCAACTGTAACAAACATATACACCAGGAAACTCATCTTTATGCCAGTCACTAGTGAGCACATGATAATTATCAGTATAGGGTTGTGGAGATTATTAAGTTTCAATTAATATCATGAATGGATGAATGTTAGATCACCATTGAAAACCGAGATCATGGATCCACACTGATGAGGAGTTGCACACTAAGACGAAACGAGCGTCCAGTGCTTACAGATTTTCAACGGTCGTCTAACATTCATCCATTCATGATATCAATTGAAACTTAATAATCTCTACAACCCTATACTGAAATAAACTGTTAAAATAATACTTTTTTTGTTAAGTGGAATTAGTCATTAGTAATGGACTATTTGACTGTGATTGAAGATAAAAGCATAATTTTCACGATACTACTAATGGTTTCCTGAATCCGAAATTTCAACCAATAAATGTTGGGTATGTGTTCACCCAGTAATTTAGAAGAATCAAATGTTTCATACAGTTCATATATGAGTAAACATTTCTAAAGTGTTTCTACGCAAAATGTTATTAACAATTAATAAAAGTCCTTTCGTGAGTATGTAACTTTAATATGTAGCCTAACGTGGTATATAATCATGTTGGAAAAATTAAGCATATCTTTAGAATTGTATGTTGACTATATTCAGTAAAAGATCGAAAATTCATTCTGAACGAAAAAATGGGGAAAAATTAATTAAACACAAAATTTTGCCTAAATAGTATTTTCTCCAAACATTAATACTTCTCAGTAGTATGTTGACAAATTTATAATATTCATTTGAGTTTTATTATTCGTTTAAAGAGAATTCAATCAGAAATATCATTAAATATACATTAAGTATAATCAAATGATCCTACACAGTTGAAGACATAACCTAGTGTATAATGTATAAAATTTTCTTGATAATTTTGTAACAAATCCTGATTCATAAGCAAAAAGGGATAGTAGGTAGCAGTGGAATCCAGGACGCGCATTTCGTCCTACTTGGGACTCATCCGCTGGATGTACCTGCATCTCAGAGTTGATGTTCACTTCGGGACTTGAACCTAGTACCTTTCGCTTCAAACGCCATCGCGTTATCTACTCAGCTAGCCACTATCCATCTTTGCTTATAATGCTTATGAATTAAGACTATATCGAGGCAATACGCACAGTATGCAAATATGATATTAAGAGACTGATCAATTGCAGTGCTAATTGAAATAGGACAAATTGCTCCTCTTAAAATTTACTACTAATCACAAATAACAGCAACCAATAATTCATTTTCTATTTTTTGTCTTAAATAAAGGAAATAAAAAGTTAATAAATCAAGAGGAATCCAACAATTTATTCACACTTTATCATAGTTTATGTCTACACGGAATGCTTACCTGCTCGTGGTCTTTCATAAACTTCATTAATACACAATTTTATTGATAACTATTTAGTTTAATATTTACTATTTTTGCACAAGTAATTTTGATAACTTTTTAAAAAGACATCTACCTTAAAGTCTTTTAGGCCATTGAATCATTAGTAGCGACACATTATTGATTAGATTACTGTTCCTGTTCTCTTTATGGTAATATAGAAAACCATTTGTATGTTCTTAATACATAAGGGAAATAAAATGTATGGTATATATATATACCATTGCAAATTAATGGAAAATGTAAAATATGATGAGGTGTATGTACCTGTCAATTAATCACAAACAAATCAATCACAAAACGTGGCTGTCAACTCAACTCCGTCAAGTTCATTATAAACTGAAGTAGCTTAGTAGCAAATTTTTAACCGTAACATTGGTTTCTGTTATGCGTTGTTAATATTTTAAAGAATTGTTAATAAGGATTGCAAGCTGAGGTTAAACTCAAATTAGGATAGTTATGTGTGATATGAATAAGAATACATTCTGTTAGAGAAGTAATAGTAAGTAGACTAATACTTTGCGGAAAACATCAAACTGAATCACACGGCAATCGCTATATTGAAATTCTGAAGTGAAACGGAAAAATGGTATATTAAGGAACACATCCCTCCGGAAATCAGTAGCAGACATAAAAAGGATGAATAGGAACTGGAAAGGATTGCTGAGGATAGAGTTGAATGGAGAACGTTGAAAGATTCTGTGGGGATCGTTTGCTATAATTAGTGATTTACTTCAACATGTCTACGTTTATTTAGGTGAGATTTCATAAATAATAATTTATACTTAATATGGTTCATTTATATATTTTAAGAATCGTAAAATTCATACTGATATCACTCATCCATGCAAACAGTACGGAGATGTGAGAATAGGAATGTCAAAAGGACTGATTATCCATTCATTGTGACCTTAAACAGCTTAGTAATAATGCTAGTAACTGTAAAGTGGAAAAATCTCCAGCCTTCACTATGTTTTTTAAAGCTTGTTGTTGAGTGATACAAGGTGGTATTAAATCCACATAAATATCTTTTATTTTGACAATAATCAATTACATACTGGTTTATTAAACTCTGCTATTCTTACATACAACCACCAAGTAGAAGATTTGTGTCAGGATTGCGAATTATATTTCATTACTACGAATTACTTAACAATATATTTTTGTTATAAAAAGGTTTCTGTAAGTCTAAATATGAGTTTAGATGGCCAAATATGATTCAATACTTTCATTTATATTTTTTGTATACTCCATGCACTACATTACTGTAAATTATTTTTAATGTGTTTTCTTGTATTCTAATTTAATTTAGTTTACTCACGAGAAGAACTGGTTCATTATTTAAATCATATGTTACAAGAAGAAGAAGCATCTATGAACAAACTGCCGATTTCCCCTTTACGATTTGGATAATGATTTGAATGGAAGCAAGAATCGAATTAAATTTAACTTAATGTTCAATTAAATGTGAATGTTATGATAAATGAAATAAAACGATTATTCATTTGGTTTTTGATTCACATTCTTCAATAGTTTTTGGGACCTATAGAGTTCAGTCAATTTCTATAATTATATATAAGAATTTCTAATTTGATGAGCTTTGGTTTAAGTTCTTTCTAAAAGATTATATAATTGTACGGTTGCGTAATAGTAGTGTATGATGATTTCTGTGTTAAGTATACTTATTATAAATTTACAATTAAGAGTAGTTCAAATGAACTACTTTTTATTGTGAACTATTTACCGTTAAAAATTCATATAAGCTACTTAGTATCCAATTACTTATCGTCCCTATCATTTCAAACATGATTAAATATAACATTCATAAAACCTAATTCACTGTCAAATGATCAAATGTTTAGAGTATCAATTACTACTTTGAAGAAAATACCTAAACATGTTATTAAACCACTTACATAAAATACAGTATAATGTGGAAACCCCACATACTTTTAACTAACGTTCACAAAGACTTTATTTCTCATTGGTAAATTATTTTATGTTAAAATAAACAAGCTAAATATTTTGTGATTGAGTGTGTTATAACTTTAAAATAAATGTTCTTCATAGGTAACAGATATGTGTCTTGAAGGAGATCTTTAGATTACACATTGGAAAACTAGTAATTCTAAGAAGTGAATGCTATTTGCTTCTAGCTTCTAATGTAAAGGAATATAAGTTGATCAAAACGCTAAGAGAAAATGATGTCAAGTAACCAGGATATTGATGTAATCTGTAATATGTAGTATTATTCTAGCTTTGAGACATATCAATCTGATCTTCATGAGTCACAGCCTAAACATTTGTTTGACCTTGTAAATTGGCTTGTAAATTTCATTGTTATAATGTGAGCGTATGTTCATGTGTATTTTTATAACTGACACTTTTCATCAATCGTCTTTTCGTCTGACATTAGATTTTGAGTTTTGCTTTATTAACTAGAGATGGAACGTTTACTTTATCCACTTCACATATCTCACCGTCTGTCTGGATCAAAAGAATCCCTAGAATAAATTTAACGGAATTAATTTGTATTTGACCTTTTGTAACTGTCGTTTCTCAAGTGGAGTTTTCCCATATAAAGTGTATGAAATCTAACGGAGAATTTATGTCCGTGGTTCATTCTTTCATCATTTGTTATGTAGTTAATGCGTCACCGAAAGTTTCATAACACATTTTGGGTATAGATATAACAAGGATCTGTTTTGATTTCAGTGTTTAAATGCACTATTATGTTCATAACTCACATGGACATGTAGAAAACGTATGTTTTCATTTTAAAAACTTTTCGTGCAAATATGAAGTTTCAGTAAATTATAAAACTTCATGAAAATATAGTTTTGTCGTGATAAACAGAAAACCCTCTGAATCGACATTGCTAATTTTATGTTTATTTCGTCCTTAGTTTTCGTCAATTGAATGTAATACACTTATGAATCATAGAATTTACTGTTTAGATTGAATCGACAAATTAACCAATCACATGTTTAGCTTATCACTTTCTGTTGACGTTTAAGGCACAAGTGCCCAAGTCATTATGGTTCAGGGTTTACACATACTAAACTTAAGGAAGAATCAGATAATTTAGGCTATTATGACCTCAGTTTCTGAAAACGTTTACAATAAGGATTAATAAAATGAAAATAATTTAGTTAATGAAATTGGCCTACCGCATTCAACAGTCTAACATCTGATAAACTTAACTGAGGTATTGTACTACTTGTTTAATGATCACATTTAGTCATGACCAAAGGCTAAACAAAACGACAGTGGTTACTATTCAGTGACCAACTTACATAAAGATCTCTGTCTTACAGCCGACTGCTCGAACATATAATTGTTCCATTATTGCAATCAACCAAATGTAATCCATCACTTTGGAAACTAATGTATTTTTAATAAAAGTATATTCTGAAACACTTCACTTCTATACCAAAATAATCATCTGAATAACCCTGCCTGTAGCTCTTCCAGGGTTACTGAAGGTCCTAAGATCGGTTAAAGGAGGAGGGTTGAGCATGTGGTCACTAACTCTACGCACCTGTTTCGTTGTTCTTCAATATCGTTGATTACTTTGCCTTCCTTGCATTTCACTGGTCTTTCTGGCTTACGGTAATTTCCAGCAAGTTTCTTTGTTGTATCATACAGTTGTCTCATGTTTCCCTCTCTTGCAGCCTTTTCCGCTGTCATCGCTAAATCTTCCACATATTCACGTTTGTCAGTTCTGATGCTCCTCTTCACTTACTTGTTTGCCTCTGTGTATTCGGCTTGTGCCTTGGCTTTTTCTGATCTTGTTCGGCTGACATTGATTGCTGCCTTCTTCTTCCTCCTTGCTTCAATCTTATCCAGTGTACCAACAGTGATCCATTCCTTGTGATGGTGCTTCTTTTGGCCCAGAACCTCCTGACATGTTGAAACGATTGCCTTCTTGGTACCTTTCCAGTTGATTTCCATGGTAGTTCCCTCTCCATTGAGTAGGTCATGAAAGGCTTCGAACCTGTTGCTGAGGGCTACGTTGAATTTGTTGAGTTTGTCAGCATCTCGAAGAAAGGCCGTGTTAAACTTTTGTGATGTTGTCCGCGCCGTTGTCCAGTGCTTCTTGAGTTTTATTTTCATCTTGGCGACCGGCAAATGATGATCGGATGCTATATCAGCTCCTCTTCTGGTTCTCACATCCTCCATCGTCCTCCTGAACTTTTTGTTGATGCAGATATGGTCGATTTGATTCTGTGTAGTGTGATCCGGTGAAATCCAAGTGACTTTGTGTATGTTTTTGTGTGGGAATATGGTGCCACCTATGACCAGTTTATTGAAGGCACATAGGTTTGCAAATCTCTCACCATTTTCGTTCCTTTCTCCCAGTCCATGTTGTCCCATGACGTCTTCGTATCCAGTGTTGTCCTTTCCAACCTTGGTATTGAGATCTCCCATCAGAATTGTCAGGTCTTTGGTTGGGCACTTCTCGAAGATCGACTGCAGCCTATCGTAGAATTGGTCTTTAGCGTCTTCATCGTAGTCATTGGTAGGCGCATAGCATTGGATGACGTTCATTTTAATGCCCTCTCTCTTTGTTTTGAAGGAGGCTTTGATGATCCTTGGTCCATGAGATTCCCATCTTATAAGTGCATTTTATGCTTTTCTGGACAGCACCAATGCCACTCCTTGTATATGTGGGGCATTTTTTTCTACATGACCAGAGTATAACAGAAGTTCTCCTGAAGACAGTTGTTGTTGTCCAACCTGCGTCCAATGCGTTTCACTGATTCCAAGCATCTCCAGGTTGTATTTTCTCATTTCTGCAGCAATTTGGAAGACTCTCCCGGTTTCCCACATTGTCCGGACATTCCATGTACCTATAAAAATTGTCGCTCTGGTTGTAAGAAGGTGCATCGGCCTCATGACTTCCGAAGGAACTCGGCTTTCATCATGAGAGGTCATAATTATTCCTTCTACTTCCATGGCAGAGTTTAAATGGTTTGAATGATTTTTTCTGGTTAGCGTTTTTTTAGCGAGTTGATTTTCTACAGGATGGGGTCGCTAACCCCATGCCCAACCCTCCTCCTTTACCCGGGCTTGGGACCGGCAGTAACCCCCAGAGGAGCTACAGGCGGAGTTCACTAACTCTATCCAGTAAAAAACAACCTTACTTAAAGTATGCTAACTAGAAAAAGCAATTTCGACAACTAAAACTCTACCCTCGGAGTAAAAGGGTATTCACTGAGAAGAATTATAATGTCTCATGGTGCAAGCCGGGATTCTTCTGATATCACAAGACCATTACCCCTTCTAACAACTAGAGCAACAATAAATACAGGTACGTGGAACGTCTGGACAATGTGGGAGACCGAAAGGATCAATCAAATAGCTGAAGAAATGAGGAGATACAACCCGGCGGTTCTCAGAATAAGTGAAACCCATTGTACCCAAGCTGGACAGAAAATATTAGATTCAGGAGAGATCCTCTTGTACTCTGGTCACGAAGAATAAAATGATTTTCACACTCAGGTAGTTGCTCTGATGCTATCCATGAGAGAACGAAGAGTACTTGGAGGATAGTAATCTTATGAATCCAGAATTATCAAATCGTTTTTCCCAATAAAGAAGGAGGGAATTACAGTGAATGTTATCTAGTGTTACACTGTAGTGCCGTGTTTCGCTAAACTTTCACCTCGATAACTGTTATAATACAAACCTTAACGGTGTATGAAATCAGAAGGTAAAGTGAGACTACAGCTACAGTTTATTATCGAATAACGTAGGCTACAAAGTTACAAGCACATGAGTAAGTATAGGCGAGCAAGAGCAAGCAATCACAGACAATTTATAGTCAAACTGAATAAGGGCACAGCAAAACAAAACAAAAGCTGATAATAGGATTTGCGTGTATACATATGTGGAGGAGGATGAGTCACCAAATAATACTTAAGCAATCAACATTTTGGCTAGAATGTCATGTGCTATAGTGGTCATAACAGTACAAAGAAATATACAAAGTATTACTATGCAAATGACAATGTCTGCCAAGTAAATAAATAAAAAGGCTTAATCAAATTAACCGTAATCGAAATCGGTTGTAGGATAGTTGCTATAATACACCCACCAATGATAGCAATGATGATGATAAAGTTCAGTTCTACGGGAGGCTGTAATCGATCAAAGCGAAGTGCCCAAGAAAACATCTCACCATCCTGATGGGAGATCTAAACTTCAAAGTCGGAATGGATAACAACGGGTATGAAGATATCTTGAGATGACATGGACTGGGAGAGATAAATCTAAATGGGGAGAGATTTGCGAATCCATGTGCATTCAACAAAATGGTTCTAGACGGCAGAATATTCCCCCACAAACGCATACAGAAAGTTACATTGGTCGCAGTGGCGAACCAGATAGATCATATTTGTAACAGTAAAAATGTGAGAACCAGGAGAGGAGCTGACATAGCTTCAGATCACCACCTAGTTGTGGCCAAGATGAAACTGGAGCTACAGAAACATAGGGCAGCCGGG